AGTCTGACATGTTTCTTGTCCACGACACGACAAGATTTTATGAGTCAAAATCGTGTAATCTGACACAGTGACTATCGTGACCGACAAAAATATCGTGTAGTCTGAACCCGGCATAAGGCTATACAAATTTGCAACCAAAATGTAAAATATTAACAAACTGTCATAAGTGTTTTGAAAAGAACTGACCTCCGAACCAATTTTGGGTCACGACCCACCAGTTGAGAAGCACTGATCTAGTATAAGCCACCCTTCTGACTATTACAGTGTGGATAAAGTCTCTTGATAAGTCAAGTCAAGTCAAGTTTATTTGTACAGCGCTTTTCACGATACAAATCATTGCAAAGCAACTTTACAGCAAATTAAGTTTCTAATGTTTTCCTTTGACTGTGAGCTAACACTGGAAGATGAGGTTGAAGAAGATTACAGATTATGGCGTTTGGAACGTTCAATTAAAGCATCCTGTGTCTCTGCAAAACATCCATAAAACCATAAAACACTCTGCAGTCATTTATATAAATGGCTCATGGTACTTTTTTTTTTTTTTCTTCATATCTTTTTTGTAGGCTGTAATTTGTGTTTATGCACACTTGCAAATACCATTCTGTTAAAGTAGTAGTTTAGCACAAAAAGGAAATTTGAATCGTTTACTCACCGTTTCAAACCCATGACCTTTCTTCTAATAAAACAAGCGCACCATTAGGTAAGTAAAATAAAAGTTTTGCGCTATATTCCAAGTCTTCTGAAGCCATACAAGAGATTGTTGTAAGGAGACGAATATCTCCTGTCGGCTCTGAAATGAACTATAAGCTACATTCAAATGTCAGTGTTTGGGATTAACGACCACATTTACTTACAGCTGTGAGTATCGAAAGGTCCTGTTCACAAGAAGTATTGTATGCATGAAGTCGAGCCTGACTGTCGCATGCAACCATAGTGACAGTTACTAAAGTAATATCAGAGATGGTCGACCCCCATTAAACTGTAGTGTCTCATCACATTTCAAGTCAATTTCAAGTGTCCAACTGAGATGTGAGCAAAACTTGACCGGAAGCAGCTTTTATATAACAGTAGATATCCAACCACAAAACTGACGGAAGCAGCTCCAGTGGAAACAGTGACTGCATGCAGCTCGATTCTACAAAGCCTGTCTCCACCAAGAAAGAAAGAAAGAAAGAAAAAGGAAGGAAGGAAGGAAGAAAGAAAATACAAATAATAATAATACAGATAGTTGTGATTTTGAGTTAACATTTTACAATTCTGCTTTGTTTTCCTCAGAATTGCAAGTATATATCACACAATTCAGACTTTTTTTTTAGAAACTGAGTTTATAATAGTTCTAACTTTATTTCTCGCAATTTTGAGTTAATGTCTCACCAATTTAAGTGAGCAGTTTAAAAATTGAAAGAGAACACATTTGTGACTTTAGAAGATATTGTAGTTTATATCTCTCAGTTCTGCCCTTTTTTTTCCAAAATTGAAAGTTTTATTTTACACTACAACCTTTTATTTTCCCCCAGAATTGTAAGTTCATATTTCTCAATTCAGACGTTTTTCCAAGTTTATATCTAACAATTAAATTTTTTTTTTTAGAATTGCGAGATTATAATGTAGCTCCGACTTTCTCGCTAATACACATTTATATCTCGCAATTTTGAGTTCATTTTGCATCTTGGAAATTATCCTTTTTTTTTTCAGAATTTGAAAAAAAATTCTGACAAGAAATGTAAGTTTTATATCTCACAATTTGGATGTGAGCAGACTCTCCTATGGAAGCCCGTTTCCGCCACTGCATAAAAAATAAAAAGGTAATTGCGACTTTTTATCTCACAATTCTGACTTTTTTTCTAAGAATTGCGTGATACAAACTCGCAATTGCAAGTTAAAAAGTCAGAATTGTGAGATATAAACTCGCAATTCTGAGAAATAAAGTCAGAATTGCATGATATAAACACACAATTGCGAGACATAAAGTCGCAATTCTGAGTCACAATTGCGAGTTTATATCGTTTCCGCCACTAAATAAAAAATCAAAAAAAGGTTATTGCGACTTTTTATCTCACAATTCTGTAAAAAAAATTATTCAGAATTGTGAGATAAAAAGTCGCAATAACCGTCTTTTTTTTTTTATTCAGTGGCGGAAACGGGCTTCCATACTCTCCCGCACTGTATGCTGTAACAGATATCTAGTTGCCCAGTCTGGTTCAGTTCACACAGCAGGGCTTCACTGAAAATGCGGTTACGAGCCCTGAAAATGTATGGGTGTAAGCTTGATTATAGAATGCGGTCGTTACTCTCATAAAATGTGTGAATCTAACCATTTTTTGGACTCAAATACAGGACTGTTGGCCATATACTGCTCTGTGAACATAGCCAAAACAGAACCAAGCAGCACTGATTCCAACATGCCTCAGCATTGCAATGGCGCCATATTTAGGGGAAGCTTTGGGGGAAGATATTTTACCTTTTAACTTTGTGTTCCAAAGAAGAAAAGAGATCATGCAGCTTTGGAACAGCAAATGACAATTTCAAGTAAATGATAACAGAGGTTTCATTTTGGGTGAACTATTCCGTTAAGAGAAAAGAACATTTCCTTATTGTATTTTCTTTCATATTTCCTTCAAGTGATATGTGAGTTACTACAGTATGTCTGGGAGAACCTTAACTCTCCTTCAAGCATCAATCTCTCTGTCTGTACACCCGGAGGCACACTGTTGAACCCTTCACTTAAAGTCTTCTAAAGTCCAGACTCAAGAACCCTTATTAGCTGGTGAGGTAGAGGAGAAACTTACAGGAAAATCAATGGCTCGCAGGCTCGCGGTCTCCAACGGCCGTCTAGCCAGGCATTACGATGACTGATCGGCCATGCAAGGCCTGTAGCGTTCAGGGGAAGCGGGAGCGACTGGGTTAGTTATGGGGGCTAGATCTGAGTTCTCTGATGGACAGCTGCCAGCCTGGGATATTAGGGAGCTTTTTTGGCTTTTTTAAGCGCGCCGCTCGGTTCGCACAGAAGCACGTCTTTGACACAGCTGGTGCTCGTGGGGCTCACCGTTGGCATCTTGATTGGCAGATGAAATAGCACTGATTTGTTGTAAACGAGTTGAATCAAGATGTCTGCGAAGTGGATAGAAATGATTTATATTTTTAGAGAGAGGTTGCACAGAGGCTGTGCACAAAACTTTGCAATTTTAACAACTTTTTCGCTCTCCACAAAGAAGCATTTTCATCATCACAGACCTGCCTGTTTCAGTTTTAATGTAAAATCCGCGTCAGTTTGCAACTGAATTCCAACGAAGCATGTATTTACAAGTTATTCCTTCAGCATTACACATATTGTAATACGTTAATTCTTATTTATTCATGTTAACTCAAAACACACAACTGATGTTATATAGTACATGGCATTATAATCTGTTAACATGAAACTGAATTCTTAAACAGTTTGTGAATCTGGATATCTAATGGGAGAAAAGAATAGTGTGGGACGTTATTTTATTTATCTGGAATTGACTGGATTGTGAAAAATGGATGTTGGAAGCTGAAGGCGAAGACCACTCTTGAGAACCTCTGGGAAACCTCTGTGAGAAACCAAGCAAAGATGTTCCAATGGCAAAGATTGATCAAACTAAATTTTTGATGAAAGGTATTAAAAACAAACATCTTTTTATTTTAAAGAACTTTCACTTAAAAGCACAACCATGTATTATATATGTATTATAAGATGTTATATGGTGTTAAAATTATTTGAAGACACACGACTGAGCAATCCTCTGATGCATTAAATATTAAATTACAAAGAAGAGAACTACACTGCATCGTTCTCTTTTACTTCAAAACCAGAATGTATTCATTAAAAATATATAATCTTTTTAACAGAAAAAGTATACTTCATGTTCATTTTATTCAGTATACTTAAGTGAAGTTCCAGAATATTTTCCAATAATACTTTATGAAGAAGTTTACTATTTTGTATCATTGTAAAATTCTTGGGATTAAATTGGCCCACTTTTTAGTTTATAAATGTATACCTTTCAGTGTACTTTGTATACTGTCACGAATCCGGTCTATGAACTTCC